AAACAATACTAAAGCTCAACAGAATTGACATGTAATATAAGGAGATAACGAACAATACTACAGCTCAACAGAATGGACATGTAATATAAGGAGATAACAATACTACAGTCTCAACAGAATTGACATGTAATATAAGGAGATAATGAACAATACTACAGCTCAACAGAATTGACATGTAATATAAGGAGATAACAATACCACAGCTCAACAGAATTGACATGTAATATAAGGAGATAACAATACTACAGCTCAACAGAATTGACATGTAATATAAGAAGATAACGAACAAGATAACAGAATTGACATGTAATATAATGAGATAACGAACAATACTACAGCTCAACAGAATTGACATGTAATATAAGGAGATAACAATACTACAGCTCAACAGAATTGACATGTAATATAAGGAGATAACGAACAATACTACAGCTCAACAGAATTGACATGTAATATAAGGAGATGAGGAACAATACTACAACTCAACAGAATAGACATGTAATATAAGGAGATAAGAAACAATACTACAGCTCAACAGAGTTGACATGTAATAATAAGGAGATAATGAACAATACTACAGCTCAACAGAATTGACATGTAATATAAAAAAGATAACAGTACTACAGCTCAACAGAACTGACATGTAATATAAGGAGATAACGAACAATACTACAGCTCAACAGAATTCAAATGTAATATAAGGAGATAACAAGTACTACAGCTCAACAGAATTGACATGTAATATAAGGAAATAACAATACTACAGCTCAACAGAATTGACATGTAATATAAGGAGATAACAATACTACAGCTCAACAGAATTGACATGTAATATAAGGAGATAAGGAGATAACAATACTACAGCTCAACAGAATTGACATGTAATATAAGATAACGAACAATGCTACAGCTCAACAGAATTGAACAATACTACAGCTCAACAGAATTGACATGTAATATAAGGAGATAACAATACTACAGCTCAACAGAATTGACATGTAATATAAGGAGATAACAATACTACAGCTCAACAGAATTGACATGTAATATAAGAAGATAACAAACAATGCTACAGCTCAACAGAATTGACATGTAATATAAGGAGATAACAATACTACAGCTCAACAGAATTGACATGTAATATAAGAAGATAACGAACAATGCTACAGCTTCAACAGAATTGACATGTAATATAAGAAGATAACGAACAATACTACAGCTCAACAGAATTGACATGTAATATAAGAAGATAACGAACAATGCTACAGCTTCAACAGAATTGACATGTAATATAAGGAGATAACGAACAATACTACAGCTCAACAGAATTGACATGTAATATAAGGAGATAACGAACAATACTACAGCTCAACAGAATTGACATGTAATATAAGAAGATAACGAACAATACTACAGCTCAACAGAATTTACATGTAATATAAGGAGATAACAATACTACAGCTCAACAGAATTGACATGTAATATAAGGAGATAACAATACTACAGCTCAACAGAATTGACATGTAATATAAGAAGATAACAATAGTACAGCTCAACAGAATTGACATGTAATATAAGGAGATAACAGTACTACAGCTCAATAGAATTGACATGTAATATAAGGAGATAACGAACAATACTACAGCTCAACAGAGTTGACATGTAATATAAGGAGATAACAATACTACAGCTCTACAGAATTGACATGTAATATAAGGAGATAACAATACTACAGCTCAACAGAATTGACATGTAATATAAGGAGATAACAATACTACATCTCAACAGAATTGACATGCAATATAAGGAGATAACAATACTACAGCTCAACAGAATTGACATGCAATATAAGGAGATAACGAACAATACTACAGCTCAACAGAATTGACATGTAATATAAGGAGATAACAAACAATACTACAGCTCAACAGAATTGATTACAATGTAAACCTCGAGAGGAGTAAACACAGACCTCTTAGAGATACATGTTCGGTGGTTAAAAAAGAAATGGAGATAATGAACATTATTCAAGATCAAAAGTCCATAAAATAATACAACATAGGAGCACAAGTTCGGATTACGTGCCATGGATGAATGAGCATCCCAGGCAGACCAGAAAAACCCACTATGTGATCCTTTTTATGATAGAAATATAACGGAATTATAAGTACGAAAAACGTCAGTCAGCATTTGACTTAGTGATGCATTGTATATGCTGACAAGGTCATTATATGAACAAATTACATACAAAATGATAACTTTAAACAAGACTGCAGATATTCTTGTTTCATTTTCTTGTTTCACGGGTTTGTTAAAGCAGCACACGGATCAGAATTCGGCTAATTAACACTTTTTAAAAATATGTAACATTGATAAATCGGAAAAATCCTGGATAAAACTGTTGCTATCATTATGCATTCTATAGACCTAAATGGGACTTCTACTACAGGAAGTACATCAACGCGACTTCACCACGTGACGTCTATAATCACAAAATATACCTTAATGAAAAAGTGAAAAGTTCAACACTACCCAGGGGATAATTAATTTCAATTTGTAATACTGTAGACGTTTTTTTTTTCTGCGGGGTCATAATTCCGAGGAATATCAATTTCTGTTTTATCCACGGGTAGAAAATTACGCGGATTTCTTAGACCATCACTATTTGCCTTTCATTTATATTAAGCACGCTTGGACAAATTTCCACGGAAAATATGTAGGCGCGTACATAGCGTAAATTAATACCACGGGGAAAAAAGTACTTCTACAGTAATAGTTATGTTAAAATATCTCTGTACCATGAAAAGTGCTGCTACAATCCTACTGTCCTATCACAGAAATAATTATTCAACACTTTCGGACGAAACCTTCCCACAATTTTTACATTTTGTTCATTTAACCGAAAAAAATGCATCAATTCCCGTAAATCATACGATTCTAGCAGCACTTTCCAACAAAAAACAAAAATTAAGTTTCAAAGTATGCGGCGTAGTGTTGAACTTTTGCATCTTTTTTGTTACGAACGACAGAGGAAAGGCTGATCGGCAAGTAAACACCCTGTCTGCTTTTTATTTTAAGAAGAAATTGTAGAATTATATTAAAATACCTTATTCATGAGCTTTATTCCCACATAAATCACACATGATTCACACTATTCACACTGTTCGCAGATGAAGAAGGTATATTGTTCCATTAGTAACTGAAGTCTACGATTTTAAATGTTAAAGTACTCAAGTTTATCAGAAACCTTCGTCGCAAGATTATCATTATCCTCTTTTTCTAATAAAATATCCAAATATGTAAATAGATATGTCAGAGTTTGTGAAATCTCTTATTTCAAGGTCTGTCTAGAATCAAATCCATGTTCCATTTAGATACAATTTACGTAATAAAATTCAAAAAAGTCATTGTTTTACCTGCTTTGTTAAGGTCCTCTGAGTTATGTTATATATGGCATAAATACTCTAGAAGTGTACGCCAGATAATGGGCCATACATAAAACACCTTGTTGTAATGGAATAAATGTAATCAGATGTTAAAATCGCGCAATAAGTAATTTAAGGCTACATCTCTCTACCGCACTTCTGTCTTTGATTATTCAAAAGTGAAAAAAAAAGAATAAGAAAGATTTCACGATCAGTACATACTGGTCCCTGCTGACAAAATGAGTAAACACACTGTCTTTGTAAGTCATTATAAAGTGAGAAACCTCTTATTTAATTCTACAAGTAATAATCCAACTAATAATGCCTCATAGTTTCCTTTCTAAGGAGGAAATTCTTCAAAATCATCTTTTCAGTTAGGAATATTTTTAGGATTTCCAGAAAACTAAATATCTTTGAATTACCATATCTATTTTGGATGCTGAAACTTCATAAAATCCTTACAAACAAAGAAACAACAGATTTTCGCTTATGTTTTAAAATCACAAAGCGCATACGTTTATTTTTACCATGCCTTCCCTCAAAAAATTCTCCTGACTTGCTATATTTTTTAAAGTTTATTTTAGCACTATACTACGTGTAACTTATTAATGTATATAATATATAAATGTATGCCTATGTGCAAACCTATACTGGGTGTGATTTCTTCAAAATTGATTACGTTACATTTTCTCATTGTCTTTTATCTTTTGATAGAAAATACAACATGTTATTGAGTAAATGTAATATCACCCCACACAGTTATTATTTAGAATCCTGTTTAGAAGAAAAAAGACGGAAATGAATAAAGATTAAACAATTTTTACTATTATCACTATAGTTGTGTACTTTGCGGTGGGGAAGCTTTTTCATTATCCGTGGTTAAGGAAAACAAATTCAAAAAAATATCCACTTTTCTCTAACTGTGACACAATATCAAGTCTTCTCGCAAGGAAAAAAAGTTGTACCATCCGTCCTGCCTAAAGATTTTTTTTTAAAAGGCATTAGGGTAAATATTTTTTTCACGACGGTGTTCCTGAACTTAGAAATTGCCTTCAATAACATGTCTAAAAATTCTGTCCGTTTGAAGTACTTTTGATTCCAAACTTTTGAAAGTAGAGAGTACATGTGAATAATTTCTAATTTTATTCTTAAGAATTATACAGCCTATGGGATTGTTTATAATATGTCTGGTACGGAGGTCAATTCAATATGTCTCCCATATACGCATTGTATCAACTGTTTATTTTTCCAAAGCAGTTAATAAAAGGACACAAGATATTTTCTAATCCACCTCATTAATGATCTAGATTCTTGAGAAAACACTTGTTACAGAATAATTCAGGACTGTTTAAAAGGGAAGATTTTGTATGATAACCTTGCTCAGACTTGATTATTGGTGATTTTTTTCCATTTAAACAGTCAATAATTGTATTTTGACAGAGACAATTAAAAAAAAGAATAAGTTTTCATATATAATTTTATTTTTGAAATCAATTCTAAGCAAGAAGCTTAATATACATTGTTGAATATCGCACAGTGTTAGTTAAAAACTAAATATATAAACCAAAAATGTACTGAAATTTCAAATTCTTTTGTAATTTTTTTATATATGTCAAGCTACCAGAATCCTTGTTATCAATTTGAGAAATGTACTAACCTTGTCAAAACTACATGAATTTGCATTATATTTGTTTAAAAACATCGTTGCAAACGAACCAGGAACTAGCTTTTTTGCAAAGTAAAAGTTAGTTACTTTTAAAGCACATGTTTAAATGTTCATGATAAGGACCGAAGTAATTTTTTTTTGGAAATTGTCAGTTTTGACACAATGACAAGACAATATCCTCTGCATATTTAGCAGCTGCACTTGTAAACTCACAGATAAAATTTGACCTCAGATTCACACATGTCTTTAAAAATTTGGCTGAATTGATCCATTTCTGATACACACCTTTGCTTAAAATTTCTCATGAAGTGAACTAAATGCTTCCCCTCTCGTGTTCCGCTGGACATAAATTCCCGCGCTTTTTCTTGATATTTGTACAGGATGTGATGTCTCTCATTATTGGAAAGAGACTGTGTTGTATCACCTATGTCAACATTGTCAGAAAACAGAAAAGGATTAAGTACGGATAAACTTGGATCAGGTGTAGCAGTTAACCAATGACAGTCCGGTAATCCAACAGACGTCAACACAAACACGTGACTTCCGGTTGTTATCAGGTGACCGTTCATATTGATTCCGCTTATTTTATTTTTCAATATGTCAAACATGCTTATCACAGAAAAGGATCCTGCAACAGAATGAATTAATTACATAAAGCTATACTTAAAGTACATGTACACATATGAGCAAGAATTAAACAAGGAGCACACAGTGGGTGTGACCGGTCAGCAGGGGATACTCGCTTCTCCATGGCACCTAATCCCACCTCTGATGTTTCGGAGGTCTCTATTTGATCTGCTCCTATTTTGTATTGTTTAATGGACTTTGATATTAAATACTGCTCGTTATATCCATATCATTCTAAGAATTAGATAAATAAAAGATAAAATAAAAAAAATGTAGCGGACCAACTAAATGATTTGTAAAATTTCTTACTTCTTTGATACGTATACAGTAATGATTTTCCAGGTAGATCAAAAAAGAAAATCGGGCAATTGTAATTAGTGTACTTTTCAAACTTGTGCTTACTTGTTCACGGATGTGTCAACATGTCTTTTTTTCATTTTCCATGTTGGTATAAAGTATACAGACCTTTACCAGTTATTTGCTTAGCAACCCAGAATTGTCCGGTACTTTCCATTACCCAAGCCTCCGTCGTTTCTATCTGTCACGAGAAAAGCCTCGCAGTAAAGTAAGAGGTTCTCTGTGTCTAATGTCCCACCTTATCCATACTGGTTAATCAATGATGCAACAACGTCCACACCGTTCTTAGCCGAGCTGGAACTCTCTAAAATCAACCTGAAATATTTTTTTCCGGTCATTAAATTGAGACTTTAGTATTTTTAAAAATGAGGCTATACATAAATTATAAAAAAAAAACAATCCATGTTACATTTATCTCAGGCGTGTAGCTAATATATAATAAAACCTCTCTCTCTCTCTCTCTCTCTCTCTCTCTCTCTCTCTCTCTCATTGAACCCATTGAACCTCATATTACATACATGTTATTCACTGCAAATTCAGGCTCCAATCTAATACAATATACTCACAAAGAAATGCAAAAAATGTCGTGCTCAGTTTGGAATTCATGCAAATTTTTTTAAACACTCTTCAACGAAATTTCGGAGGTAAATACTTTTTGTCATGTCCGCCCGTGTGTCTGTCTAGCTATCTGTCTGTCTGTCTGTTTGTCGGCATAAACTTTAACATGGCCTATAGCTTTTGATTTAGTGGACCTATGACTTTCACTTTAATTTGACGTGTATCTTTTGTGATAAGGCCTTTCTTTTGGTACCACCAGAGTTGACTTTTGACCACAAAAAATTAGAACTTTTACTGTGGCCATATCTTTTTAACAAAAAATACCAGGACGTTTATACTTGACATATGCAGGGTCCTGCAGATTGTTTTCTGGCTTTTGGAGCAGATTTACATATGAATTTTTGTGGAAATACCTTTCATTGAATTTCAATAACTTAAACCTTTTGACCTTGACCTTGGAGATTTATGTACCTATGAAAAAACGTTAATCTTGGCTAAAACTTTTAAACTTTTAAACAATATTACTAGGGCTTTCATACTTCACATAGATAATCCTTATAAAACACCTTTCATTTGATACTAAGAACTTTGAACCATTGACCTTGACCTTGGAGTTTCACCTACTTAAAAAATAAAACCTTGACCATGATTTTTGAACAGTTAGGACGGTTAAGGCATTTATATATCAAACATTATATCATTGTGACAAGATCTTCCATTTGATATCAAGAATCTAGACCCTTTCATCTGGACTTGGAGTTTGACCTATTTTTACAAACCTTAACCTTGACCATAACTTTTTAACATTGTGGCTAGAGTTTTCATATTTCACATGTGCAATCCTTGTGACATGACCTTTCATTAGATACATGTATCAAAATCTTACCCTTTGACCTTGACCTTAGATAAGTTTGACCTACTTTTTACAAACTTTAACCTTAGCCCTAATTTTCGAACGGTAAGGACCTGTGCTTTCATACTTCCCAAGCGTAATCTTTGAGACAATGCCTTTCTTTAGAAACCAACTGACCTTGACCCTTTAACTTGACCTGGAGTTTGTCCTATCTTATAAAATGTTAACCTAGGTTATAACCCTGGAACATATCTAGCTAGTGTTTTCTATTTCGCATTTCTTTTGAAAAGGCCTTACTTTTGGTACCAGCATATTTGATTTGCATTTAAAAAAGATTAACCTTCGCTATGTTGCCATATGGGGGCATCAGTGTTTCACAAACACATCTTGTTAAATTACTGCATCAAAGCTGTTCAATCCATTCTTACCTAACAAAAAGTTATTTTGGTAAATTCCTTTTAAATCTTTTTTTCTGCATCGTAAAAACTGCTTAACCGAGCTACTTAAAGATATTGTAATACATTAGTAAAGAAAATGTATGTTGTGCAGATTCCAGGCTAGATTGAACAAATTTCCGCTTTCCGTGATGCCACAGACTGACTGAGAATAGCAGCATAGGTGCATGGAGCCTGTTCGATGTCCATATGTGTGGTCTAGCTAAAGAAAATTGTAGTACTTATTATAACACAACATCCAGTGATTGAATCTGTTTCATTTTAAGGACGATTTAGTTGACGCTATTGATTTCTTCGTTCTTCTAAATGTTTTGATTGGATGCTATTTTAGAGTCAATAAAACACCAGTTGTCGATGTCAATGATTGATTTGTTCTCCTGAGTATTGTGATTTTGATATGTGAATGGAGAGTGAAAAACGGATAAGACGTTTCTTCAAACAACGGCAACATTTTGCAGAAAAAGCTTAGAAACAGAACTCAATATGATAAGGATATGGAAATAACGAACAGCATTCAATCTCAACGTCCATTAAACAAATATACAAAATAAGAGCAGAGCAAACACGGACCTCCGAAACATCAGAGGTGGGATCAGGTGCCATGGAGGAGTGAGCATCCCCTGCTGACCGGTCACACCCGCCGTGTGCTCATTGTCATAATCAGGAAATAACGGGAAAAAAATCCGTAGTCAATTCAGTGTATAAATAATGGACTAACAATTGGTATGAAAAACGTCAGTCAGCATATCATTCAATGATAAATTGTATTTGCTGACAAGGTCATTGTATCGACCATAGAATTTACGAAATGATGACTTTAAACGAGACTGTTGATATTCTTGTTTCATCAACTTGCTTGTCAATAATTTACCTCGTTTAAGAAATTGTTCATACGTAGAGCATGCTCTTGCGTATCGAATCAACTGAGATATAAATACTCCGTATGCAGGTGATGAAGGTATATTGCTGCATAAGTAAGGGAAGTTGACGATAGAAAAATTAAAGTCATCACGTTTATCATAATGCTTGGATGTAAGATTACCATTTGTGTCTTTTTCAAGTAAAATATCCAAGTATGAAGCAGAAGTGTTGGACTCTGTGGTATCTTTTATCTCAAGCTCACCAGGATATATCATGTCGACGTAGGAATGGAAATTATCATTATTAATTGACAATACGTCGTCGATATATCTAAATGTCGAGTTGAAGGCCACAGCAAGTGTTTTTTTCTTTTCACGCAAAAGATTTTGCATAAATTCTGCTTCATATGAATATAAAAATAAGTCTGCTAATAACGGAGCGCAATTTGTACCCATGGGAATTCCAATAGATTGTTGGAATACCTGGTCTCCAAAAACCACATAGATATTGTCAATCAGAAACTCAAGCATCTTCTTGATGTCAACTTCAGAGTACTTATGTGTACAATCAGAATCTGTTTTAACAAAATAATTTTTCAAATGACCAATGACGAGGTAAGTAAATTTACGAGTTCCATTTTTGTTGAAGAAGCAGCTGTCAATGATATCAAAAAGCCTGGATTTTAATTTGTCGTGCGGAATTGTTGTGTATAAAGTTGAAAAGTCGTAAGTTTTTATGCTGTTGATTTTTGTAAAGTCTTGTGATTTCAAATTGTCCAAAAGTTCTTTAGAATTTTTAAGTATCCACATCTGATTTACACCACTTCTTGAATATATAGTTGTACAGTACTCTTGAAGTTTTTCCTTCACTACTGTCAATATTTTAGTGAGAAGTAACGAAAGAGGCTTGGTTGAACATTTACTGGAACCTGCAATGTATCTTTGTTTGTAAGGATTCTTATAAAGTTTCGGAATCCAATATATATAAGGTAGTTCAAATTCATTTTGGCTCTGTGGAATATTAAAAGTATTCAAAACTGACAGGTGATTTTGAAGAATTTCTTCCTTAGAAAGAGTAGTATATGTATAAGTAGGATTACCACTCGTGGAATTAAATCCAAGTTCTTCTAAAATGCAATTTATATAATGAGCCTTACAAACGAAGACAATGTTGTTACCTGCTTTGTCGGCAGGAACCAGTACGTACTGATCGTGTAATCTATCTAATTCTTTTTTCACTTCTGGTTTATTGAACACAGAAGGATAGATGGTTTTCATTTTGCCCCTCAATCTTTTAATACGTGACTTTAACATGGATCTGATACATTTAATCCATTCTGACAAGGTGTCAATGTCTTCTTTTTCATATTTAGCCCATCGTCTGGCGTAATTTTCAACAGAATCCATAATATTTATGAAATTCTGACGCCAGTTGAAGGATCGGGGTTCCCTATATTTAGGACCTTTTAAAATAAGTGATCTAAGGTCCTCATTAAGAACTATATCTTACGTCACCTGTAATAACGTGTCCAGCAGGACTATAGTTATAGTGCGAAGAAGAACATGAACACGAAAGGGGATTATTTTTCAGATAGTCGATATCCAGGCCATGTAAAGTATTTTTGTAATTGAAAAGTTTGGAAGCAATGGTCGAAGTATATTTGTAGGAAATACAAGGCGTAGTCTTTAACTTGAAATATGGTGGAATACAAGACTGGACCCTTTTGTGATTAAGAATATTACTATTATTTACCGCGTCAATTCCTTTATTGGCATATTGAAGTTTAAGGAAAAGACGGATTGTTTTAGTTGCATTTTCTTCCGTGAAACGTGCGGGTTTAAAAAGCCTATGATGTGCTATATCCATAATCACAGAACCGAGCCTATATTCAGGTGTCGAGGAATCTAAATTTGGATGTTCCTTGGTCTTTTCAAGAAGACTATTTAAAAGTTTCAAAGGGACAGAGTAAAGTTTGGTTCGAATATGATGTAGACCTAACTGTTGATTTACATAAGGTAGTAATGAATCAAAAGAGACGTCGTGTATTGCAGGTTTATTGTACGAACGATGTCCATGACTACGCTTACGTCTCTGAGTATTGTTAAAAAGTCCCATCACATTTACATTATTACACTGCGGGCTTGTTAGATTTCCTACACTATCGACATTGTCATTACAACCATAGGGAAAGGCTGTCCCTAGTTTCCTAATCCAAACTTCTTCACGTTGTCTACGGAAAGGTGTACTCAAAGATGGACTATTTGTGTGGTGATAAATCTTTTCCAGAATTCTAACTTTCATTGATAAAATAGAATGATCAGGTGAATTAAAATGTTTATATAAAAGCTGCTGACCACCATGATTTATTTGAAATCGATGACCTGATATTCTTTTGTTAAGGGATCCCTTGGTTTCACCGACATAAATAAGTCCACACAGATTACATTCTATTCCATAGACAACATTAGAAGATTTGCAGTTCAGATTTTCCCAAGTTTTGGTATAGAAGCTCTGTCCAGTAAGATTACTGGTGAAAGAAGTGTCAGTTATCAAAATGTCACAGGTTTTACAGTTTCGTACAGAA